CCCCAAGTATGTACTAATCCACCAGGTGGGAACCCCGGCCACCGAAGTCACAGACAATGGTCTCCAGAAGTGCAATATTAACCAATCACTAAGATGCCCCCAACAATTAAACGAAATGCTATCACCCCCAACAAGCTAGGTAAGCAGCACAGGCTCCCAATTCAACAAATAAAAGTAGGACTGATTAACTCAAAGTCCCAACAACGAGCTCAAGGAAACGAGCAATTGATATCGACCGACAGAGTACTTGAAAGCAAAGCAATCAACTAAGAATGTAGCACTCAACCCAATAAACCCTGTGGTGCTCAAATGGGTAATTAACAACAATCCCAATAGCAGGGAACTCCTCCAAATAATGCCAATCAATTTAAGCAGATAATGCAGCCACGGAGTTTTCCAATCCAGCCAAGCAATTAAGTCCAAGAAATAGTGCTGGAAACAATTGGGTATAAGTGTTCTAGGGGTGAATACCTCCACCTGTTATGGAAGAGGGATAGCGCGTGGCCGTGGTGGCGAGTGGCTGTGGCTGCTGGCGGACAGAGTTGGATATGAGTTGGCGGCGGACAGAGTGAGAGAGCAGGGGGAGAAAGCAGCAGACAGGGGAAAAGGGCCGCGGCCTCCGTGTGCAGAGCAGCAGCGGCGGCTGAGAAGCTGAGTCGCTCGCAAGGGGCTGCTGGACAGATCGACGGGCAGCGGCTGGCGTGCGTCCGTGGCTTTGGGAGGCAGCGGCGGCGGCACAGAGGATGGGCCGCGGCTGGCTGGGGTCCCGGGCGTGCGGCCAGTAGCAGACAGTAGAGGCGAAGCGAGCTGCCCGCGCTTGCGGGAGTGGAAGGCGGCTGTGTGGACGGCGCTGTCTGGCGGGCGGCGATGCGGGCTGGTGGATGTCCGCTAGACGGCGGCGGTGGACCAGAGAGGCGTCGGGACCGCGTGAGGGCTTTGGGTCGCGGGCAAGGCGGAACGGCGTCGCGCGGTCTGGTCGAGGAAGAAGGTGGTGCGCGGTAGAGGTAGATCTGGTGGTGGAGAGAGAGCTGAGGGCGGCACTGAGCTGGGGGTGCGCGGGTAGCAAGGGCGACGGACCAGCAGGTGAACAGAGTAGAAGAAAGAAAGAAAAGAGAAAGAAAGAAGAAAAAAAAAAAGAAAGAAAAGAAAGAAAGAAGAAAAAGAAAAAGAGAGAAATTGCTGTTTGTTTTTTTTTCCAAAAATGTTTCTTTTCTTTTTTTTCTTCCAATTATGAGGCTCTTTGAGCCACGGAAATAATCTTACTTTTACAAAATAAAAAAATTTTTTTTTTTTGAAATTTGGAAACTAAAGTTACGGTGATAAGAAATGTGTAATTTTTTTTTTAATCCTTACCTTTCCCGCGAACGTGACGCGGGCACGTCAAGAGAGCAAGAGAGCTCCCAGAAGTTTCTGATCGTGAGCTTCCTGCACGTCACCATGCGGGCACATCATGAGGGCAAGAGAGCTCCCAGAAGTTTCTGATCGTGAGCTTCCTGCACATAACCACGCGGGCACGCCATGACTGAAGGGCACCTATAAATCAGCAAAAACAAAACTGAAACCCAAAATCAGTCGAATTCAAGGAGTGCACATCTAAACTACCACACGAAATTGAACAAACAATTCAAAAGAGATTGGGTTGCCTCCCAATGAGCACATTTTTTTAATGTCTTTGGCTAGACATTATCACGTTTACTTAGGGAGGATAAAATCTTGTGGCTCGTTTTAATGCTTCATCCACTATATAGTCCTGATAGCCCTCGTAAATAGAGTAATCCTTGGGCATACGAGTTACGGGCTTCCATGGACTAGTGAATGGCGCCAAACGAGTCGATGATAATTTGCATTCTCCATTCACTCCTCCCCCACTTGCATTTATTGGTTCAAGATATCTCGCCATCGCCACTCTTAATTTATTCCTGTCATGAAATTCAAAATTGTCTGGTATAATAAAGTCAATTTCATTAACAGGAATTGAAGAGTAAGAGTCAGGAGAATAGTGATGAAGGAGTGGAGGGGATGTCACCGCATTTGGAGATTGTTCACTGGATTCATTCACTTGAATGAGTTGATCCTGGAGTCTCATTTTTTGCACTTCGACTTCCTTTTCAACTGCATCTTTAAATCCGTTTCCTTGAAACTCTTGCAGTTCCATGTCATTTTGCCGGATAATTGCACTCTCATCTCCTTCAAGATTGATATTGGTTTGTGAGGGCAATTCTTCAAGGTGAGAAGCTAATCGCTCTATCCTGGATGTCAATTGACGCATTTGATCCGCCAGGTCGCGAAGACTCGCTTGTGTCTCCTGATGAAATCGATTTAGGCTCGCTTGTGTCTCCTGATGAAATCGATTTGTATTACCAATTAGTAATCCCATCATTTGTTCAAGAGACATACCTGACACGGAGGATGATTGCTGAGACTCTTGCTGTTGAAAATCCCTTGGCCCCGTCGCATAATTAAAATTGGAATTATCCCACCATCCTTGATCATACCTGTTTGGATAAGGGTCATACCACGTTTGAAATCGAGATGGAAAATCTCCAAAAGTATCAATCAGAGCACTTAGATTATCTTGAAATGCGGGGCATGTGTCGGTTGAATAATTTGAGGCAAAATAAGTTTCACAATTTGCAACAGCCCATTGATCATTAGGAAGAACACGAGTCTCATAACTCCATTCAGGAATAAAGTCCAGTCTATCATCAAAATACGGAATGTTAGCAGCCATAAAAAAATAAAAAAAAAGAGAAAAATAAATAATAAAAAAAAATGAAAACAAGATAAATTCAAAAAGAAACAAATTAATCTGGCACCAGTCCCCGGCAACGGCGCCAAAAATTGACAGGTTGTCGAAACCTGTGCAATAATAAACCTGCTTAAACTAAAATTAATTTCTGTAGATAGCAGTAAGTAGGGTCGAATCCACAAGGACTGGGAGTAATTGTTCCTTTCCAAATTCACAGTGACAAAGGGGGTGTTTTTATCTCAGGGGTGACAATTTAAACAATCCAACTAAAAGTAAAATAATAAAAATAAAATAGCCAATTAGAAATTAAATAACAATTTACTAAAATCAAAGGATCTAGCCAAGGAATAATTTCAGCAATAGTTCACCTAATTGATCATCGATAAGCAAAGGCAATTCCAATTATTTACTAATAAATAGGTTATAACTGCCAAACAAGCGATGACAGTCAACCCCTCCTTACTGTGTCGGTGATCAAGGTACGCCCGTTAATCACTGCTCTAATTGGAAAACAATTCTAGGTACGCCCATAGAATTTAATTCCCCAATTGCCTTACGTATTAGAGGAGCCCTATTCTAACCAAATAACACACTACCAGGGTTATTTTAGATTAGCCCGCGTATTCTCCTGACACAAACCTAATCATGCCAGTTGTCACTATTTTAGAGCAATTAAACAATTACGGATTTAATGCCCTAATTGACAATAGATTACCAAATCAATTAATTATCCGGATCCAAGACAATCAATTAATCAAATAATCATAAGTACTACAACCAAGGAATATGCGAATACCAATAAATAAAGAAAAAGATAAAATTAAATCGATCTCACAATTTTTAGGCGAATCAAAACCTCCGTTGTTCCTTGACTAGACAAGGGAAATTAGTTCATTGTTGCTAAACAAAGCCCACAAGAAATTGTAAAAAGAGCCGCGGCCATTGTCACGGATATTTGGAGAATTCAATTCGCAAGAACTAAAGGGGAAGAAAAGTCAAAGCTGTCCTCTTTGCTCCTGCCATGCGTACCAAGACCCAAAGGAAAAGTCACCAGTAAAGCTATTCCTATTTGCTCCTGACATGCACAGGGAAGTCCTAATCAAAAGCTTCAAAAGGAAAATCGCAAGCTAAGCTCCTCAGCAATCTTCATACGTAAGAAAGAAACTAGCTAACAAGAACTAAGAAGATAAGTCAACAACTGCGGCTAAGCTACAAGACGGAAAGCTCTCCAATGTGCGGCGGCTCCCCTTCCGGAGAGGAAGAAGAAGACCCCCACTTCAGCCCTTCGTTCCTCCTTTTAATGCTGCGCTCTGCGAATTACCAAAAAGGCCTTGTATCTCCTTGTTCCAAAAATGCCCTGGTTGCCTGCTACTTGAACTCTTTCCTGATAATTGTCAAATCGACACTTATTATGGTATTTTCGTTCTACTCCCTGAAATATATGTAAAATACTAAAAGTGAGTAGAATCTAACAATTAATTCACATTGGATTAAGTAATAGGGAAATTAATAATAAAATAAATGATAAAATTGCAACCTATCAGTTTTACATTAGGATACTGTAAATCTGCTGAAATTTTTGGGTGCATTGCGTTGAAAGAAATTAGCTTTATTACCAATTTTGAGCTAGTTTATATTTTAAGAAAATGTTTGTCTCTTACGTAAATTGCGCTTGCCTTTCATCAGTTTGAGAGATTAGCAAGGAAATGTTATTCAACCCAGGGCAAATTAACTGAGTCTAGAAGAAACTATAAAGCATCTGTGCCCATTTAACATCAGCCACACTTCCAATTACCAAGTAGCTGATTTGTGGATTCCACCTTAAATTATACTTTACACTGGGATTTCGATTTCCTCTTAACGTTTCTCATCTAACTGTTATTGAGTGATTCCTATCGACTTGTTGAAAAAAAAACTGTGCCCATTTAACAAGCCAAAGGGGTGACGTGGCTTTTCAAGAACCACACGGTCCATGGGTGTCGCAGTGGACCGGGTTCATTCAAGAATTTGCTGATATGTTGAATGTGTGTTTACAGTTGACTGTCGTTCTTTGGGGGAGTAATTGTTGCCACAGCAGAGCAAGAAAGAATGTTGCATATATTTAAAATTACTGCAAGAAAAAAGGAGTCTTGCCGCAATATTTAATTATTCATGAGGAATTTGTAGATCTTGAACTAAGTTCATTCAGCATAATTTGCTGCACTAGACAGAGATCTGATATCAGAGTGAAAAAGAAGACACCATAATGAAGATGGCCTCCAGTGGTAGCCGCACTAGTGTCTTTGAATCTATTTTAGAGCATCTGGACTGGCTTATAGAGATGCGGCTCCAGTTCGATGATGAAGTGGAGTCGAAGTTGAATCGTCTAATGTTGGAGCTGAAGGACGACGTACGCGTATTGCTACCCTTTGATCTGTATATCACAAATTGCTGGAAGAACCAGGAAATGTGTTGGGAACCCGATCTGGAGGAGAAGGGTAATACTAAGTCCGACAGTTCGAGACTTAGTATTATGTTGTCGAAGATTCAAGATCTGGCTAGGACGATAGTGCCTGGTCCTGAGTCTGCTGTTTTTACATATATGCAGTCTCTTGGATCAAATCACAGTGACATCAAAACTAAGCTCACCACATTTAAGGAAAAGATCAGGTTATTTTTTGAGACAGAAATCCAATCATCGTGCATCATCAGTTTGTTGCACCACTGCTCACTGGGAGATCCACGACTAGTTACAAATTTGATTGACTCTGTTTTAGAGAGTCTGGAGTGGGTTGGCTGCTGGATTGGCGAACTTCACAAAGCTCCGTCTATTGAAATGAGAACCCTTGAAGCGAAGCTATCGTTCTTGAAGAGTTTCATTTGCTTTGCCACAGTGCAAGGCATCGAGGGTAAGCAATTGATGGATCTGTTGTTCCACGCTGAAGTTGTGGCTGTCAAAGCTGCACGCCTGATTTCTATATGTTGGTTTGATAGAGAAAGTAAACAAATGTGCAATGAAGTGGAATTTCAAATTTCTCAATTGATACGCAAGGAGATTGATCCCGTTGATCCCCAAGTCCGAGAAACTTATATCCGTGTTCTGACAGCTTCAAAGTTATCCAGATCGTCACACACTTTAGTGCTGGAGAAGAATAAGCATCTATTGGCCAAATTTATTGATTGTCTCCTGTATAATGCTATGGAGCTACTAGAACATTTTCCTAGTTTCTCGGTTCTCATGAAGGATCAAATGCTAATACTCCACGAGGGAGTAAGGTTCCTGAGAAACCTCTTCGGGCAGCAGCAAGAGAAATTCGACGGGCTACATGATCAAATGAAGGATCTAATTGGATTTGTGGCCTGTGATGCAGGAATTGTGATTTTATCCCTTTCAGCAACTGAAATGAACGAAGGTTTGGCCAAGGAAACAGATCTCGCGCTTTTTCATCTGGTCAAAGTGCTCAAGTTTATTATGGCAGAATTTGCACAAATTTATCCACCACCGTCATTCTGCTTTCCTTGGACCAATGAGTTGGGCTGCTTTGATTTCCTCCTAGAAAGTCTCCAAGATTTATCGAATTCTGAAGCTGATTCAATTGATTTCCCAAAGAATCATATCGACAGAGTGCAAGAGGATCTTACGTTCTTAAGATCTTTGCTCAAGAATATTGTCGGGCAGCGCAACCAGAACGTAAAACTCCAAGCTCTTTGGAATCGTGGTATGGAGGTGGCCTATAAGGCAAAGTTACTCATCAACTCTATTGTATTTGGGGATAAATCTGAATGTTTGGATACCCTTGCTGGAGATATTGAACTGATGAGGACTGAGGCCCTTGGAATCTGTGACAGCCTCGGCCATGGCACTGATACTCAAAGAGTTACCACCAATTCAGCTGATACAACATCAAAACTCAGAACCCCAGCACTGAATGAAGCTCCAGTGGGTCTTGATGAAGCAGTAAAGATAATCATCAATAGACTTACCAGGAGTTCAAAGCAGCTGGATATTGTTTCAATTGTTGGTATGGGGGGACTCGGTAAGACAACATTAGCAAACACAGTTTACAACCGTATGCAAAATTCAGTTTGTCGCCACTTTCATATTCACGCTTGGTGTACTGTTTCTCAAGCATATAGCAAGCACAATTTGTTAGCGCAGATTTTGTGCAGTATTCATCATGGTAGTCCTGGGGAATATCTTAACAAAGATGAAGATGATTTGGCTGAAGAGCTAAGGAGGGTTTTGTTGAGAAATAGGTATCTCATAGTTTTGGATGACTTGTGGGACATTGAGGCATGGAATTTGTTGGAAAGATCATTTCCAAATGATTTAAGCGGAAGTAGGATTCTCTTAACCAGCAGAATTCACAGTTTGCCATTACAATTAAAACATGATAGCGAACCTTACCATCTTCACCAACTTACTGACAAAGAGAGCTGGACATTGCTGCAAAATAAGTTATTTGGCAAGGAAGGTTGCTGTCCTCCAACACTAAATGAAGTTGGATTCCAAATTGCAAAAAACTGTAAGGGACTACCTCTCACAATTGTCCTTGTTGCTGGAATTCTTGCAACTACTGAGCATGATTGCTGGAAAGAAGTTGCAGAAACTCTAAGTTCTAGCACAATTGTTGAGACTGAACAATGCAAGATGACACTGGAGTTGAGTTACAGCAATTTGCCTGGTCATCTGAAGCCATGCCTTCTTTATTTCGGTGCATTCCCGGAAGATGAAGACGTTCCTGTTCGAAAATTGATCTGGCTTTGGAGCTCTGAAGGATTTCTGCAAAAGACTGAAGGAAAGAGCTTAGAGGATGTGGTAGATGAGTACTTGACGGATCTGCTCCAAAGAAGTTTAGTTATGGTCACTCGACAAAGATCTATAGGTGGTGCCAAAGCTTGCCGAATTCATGATTTGATACACGAGTTTTGTGTGGAAAAAGCCAAAGAAGAAAGTTTCCTACAGATTTCTCGTGGGAAAAATGATCTTTTGACTCTGACTGGACCGCACAACCTTCATCGACTATGTATTTACAATACCGGGCTGGAGAAGCTTAAAAAGTCTAAGGTATTTTTTCCCGATTTACGTTCTTTGCTCTTCTTTGATAAGTGGGATGGGCTGCGTTATCTTCCAATTGGGGTTTTGCCATTCAGACTTCTTAGAGTGTTGGATTTTGGATGTTTTAGTTTTCTCTATGGATTTCCGATGGAAGTAGTATTGCTTGTTCACTTGAGATGCTTGGTGATTTCAAGCATTGGGTCCGTGCCATCTGAAATAGCTAACCTCTCAAGATTAGAAACTCTTTTGGTGATGGCATGCCGTCGTAATGTTGGGCTGCCGACCACTATCTGGAACATTCAGACGTTGAGGCATCTATGCATTGCACATTCCTGTTTTGGTTTTAGTTTTCCTGCTGACAGTCTTGACGGCTGCCCGGATTTAAAACATTTAGAGACTTTAAGCCTTGCAATTGATTCCTCTTCTCAAAGCTTGCAGAAGATATTGACAAAGTTACCAAGCATCCGCAGGCTAAAATGCGTGCCTTGCATTGAGGATTCTAGTTCTTCCAGAAACTGGATTCTCGTGCTGGATGGTCTGAGTCGACTAGAGTCACTTAAAGTGGATTTTCGTGCTCCGTTGGAAATTAAATTCCCACTTTATTTGAAAAAGTTGACTCTCTCATGTACTCGTATGCCATGGACTGAAATTTCAACAATCGGAAAGCTGCCGAGTCTTGAAGCGCTTAAATTACGGCATGAAGCCTTTGTAGGGGAAAAATGGGAAATGAAAGCAGGGGAGTTCCTTAACCTCCGATTCTTGGAATTGTCAAGTTTGGACCTCCGAAGTTGGACTGCCACTTCTGACAATTTTTCCCGTCTTGAGAAGTTAGTTGTGGAAAGATGTTGGAAGCTGGAAGAGGTCCCTTCTTCTTGTTTAGGGGAATGTTTGACTCTTGAAATGATTGAGCTCAAGTGGTGCTGCAAGTCTGCTGCGACTTCTGTAAAGCAAATTCAAGAAGAACAGGTGGATATGGGAAATGTGGATCTAAGGGTCATTCTTGAGGATCTAGTCGATTCTTCAGAAGCAGAGTCGTGTGATTATGCTGATCTATCCGATTCTTCAGAAGCAGAGTTAAATTAACTCTTTTCTCATCCCAGTATCTGTTTAAGAGTCAGTTAATTCAGATTGGGACTGCACTCCACAGTATTATTTGTATGTGTTGAATCAGTTCAATGATGTAATTTTATTTATATTCATGTTCCGGAAGCAATTTCCGGAGTTGTTCAATTCTTGGCTTGAAGTTGGTGCAACTGTGACTTTGTGATTGCAGTCATAAGAAAAGTCATGCATTTATCAAATCCTAAGACCTAGAATTTGTTTCCTCCAACTTTCTATTTCTCATTTCCTTTGACACTTTAATCACTTTATTCGTGATTATGCTGATTCTTCAGAAGCAGAGTCAAATCAACTCTTCTAGTCACAGTATTCGTTTAAGAGTCATTAATTCAGATTGGGACTGCACTCCGCAGTATTATTTGTATCAGTTCAATGATGTAATTTTGTATTCATGTTCCGGAAGCAATTTCAGAGTTCTTCAATTCTGTGGCTTAAAGTTCTTCAACAAGCGTTTCTCCAAAATAAAGAACCGTACACTAAAATTATTAATATGTAAACTTCTTTGTGAATAAAAAACCTTCATATCATATCCGTGCAGAGAGCATTAATAGGTGTGTTTGGATAGGAGATTATTTGAAATAATTATTGTAATACTTTTTATAATTTTAAGTATGTGAAATAAAAAGGTAATTTCAAATATAAAAAAAAATGATGTGTTAAAAATGTGTTTATAAGACAAGTAAATTATTTTTTGTCAAATAATTCTTATCCGAGCACATTATCAATGAAAAAAAGAAATCAATTTTTTCTGTCTTGTTTTGGACTGCTTGCTTGTGTTTTCTTTGGGCTTTTCTTTTACTGTCTATTTTGCTTTGTTTGATTTTGGGCTTTGGCAAACGTCTTGGTGTTTATCACTGCTTTTGGGTTTTCTTTTTCTTTAATTTTGCTAGAAGATGTAAAGCTCTTATGGTGCTAGAAGACGTATTGACAAATTGCTATAACAGATTATATTTGGAAGTGGCGCTGGCTTCCAATACGCCACCATCATAATCAATACCTGATAGCAATCTGGAATCAGGAGCGAGGAGCAGATACCATCATGGAGATCTGCTCCAGCAGTAAGAATTAGGCCAATTCTTGTTTCTTCTTTCTGAAGTACAACATTGCTTCCCCATGAGGTAGTGCTCAAATGGTTCATTGTACATTTGTCGAATAAGTTGTTCCTTTGCAAGAATTAGAGCTACAAGCTAGCAGTAATATAGGCGGAAGACTCTTGCTGCTTCTCTTGTTGATTTATGCCATCTGCAACATGAGCAATGACTCCAGCCCCAGCATTATGAAACCATTCATTTTTCACCTGCGGCCAAATAACGGATTTACATTGAAAAACAGCAGCTGGTAATCATGAATAACAATTTTCGAATAATGCACAGAAACCATTACATGAATGTTGTTATGAGCGAAAAAGGGCCAGAATGCCGAGTGAAAGCTGACATCAACTTTCTTCCACCCCAATTGTTGCAGTCCACGTATCATTTCCTCTGCGACAAAATAAACAATAATGTCATTTGGTCTGACGCTGTAGTGTGTCTTATAACTAACAGCAGCTGTTAACACTTTTAGAGTACCTTCCACAATTTCATGATATTCCAATGTATTCTGCATGGTTGGTGCATTTTGAGCTGCCTCTTTTGCTTTAGCAGCTTCTGGAGGAAAATGGGGACTGCTGGACGGAACAGGTGGACAATATTCAACATCTACTACATGTTGGTAACCATCCAGCGAACGCTGAGGGGGCTGCCAGATTAAGTAGAAATCTCAGAGAGACGGAAGAACATAAACATGTAACAAATCATTTTATCATTCTTAAAAAGGTGGTCAACGCAGTCATGTTATTGCTTCTACATTTTTTGAAAAAAGACTTGCATTTAAAATATCGAGCTGCTAATCAAGAATCTAGGCACAAAAATCTTGATCAGTTGCAGATTCACTATCCACGGAATGTTATAGTGCCAAACCCAGAACAAACAAGTGAAAAAGAAATTGGTGGATGCTGCAAATTAACTATAAAGATAGGAAAAGCAATGAAGACACATAAGCAGGGTCTCTTTCTTTTTCAAATTACTCCATAAAAATGCTCAATGAAGATGAATCTAACAAGTGTATTATTTGAAATACAAAGATAATATATGCAGATTCAAACGCCGTGTATATAGTCATTCCAATTCTGTAAGCAAACACCATCTTAATTCCAGCTTATGAATAAGGAGCTTAACGAAAAAGTTGCACCCAAAGAAAAATAAAATGATGACAAGGAAGTGCAAAGCCTCAAAGTTTCACCATAAAGACTTAATAGCAGATAAGAAAAGCATGTTAATATTTGACAAAAAGGTTAATTTTCAGAGGATGATCTTAATGAGGAAACTCCATAGAAAGAAAGAAAGCAGATTTAATGTTCCCAGAGGGGCAACATTTTACCTCAGCAGATTCTCACAAAAAAGTAACTTCATATTGATGGGCTGGATTAACTTTAAAAATCATTTAATACAAGCTAACACCAAAGTGCTTTTTTTAAAAAAAAAATTTAGCAGAGGGAGGGGTGGTATTTAAGAAGCAGGGAGGGAGGCCCAGGACCACTAATTCCTTGTTCCTCGAGCCTTAACCTTAGCCACTAGACCAAGTCCTCCTCAGCAACCAAAAAAGTACTTGATATTTGATGTACATGCATTATGTAAAAGATAATATCATACATAAACAACTGTCTGCTCAGTAGTTAATGGTTTTGAGATTCTGATTAAGAAATTGAACAACTTAAACTGATCACCACCATTCTTCAGGTTCTGATACACACCCCAAAAAAAAAAGGTCCCACCGAGATTTGAACTCGGGCCATTGGATTCAAAGTCCAATGTCCTAACCGCAAGACCATTGCACCATTTGCTAAGAGATGGGTCCACCATGGAATTACTTAGCTTTCTAAAGTTCATTTCACAATTATATTGTGCAAGAACTAAAAACGTAAAAGATCGCATCAAGATTAAACTCGACTATTGGAATCAGTGTCCAATGTCCTGGTAGCCAGACCATGGAACCTTCTCTTAAGATATGGGTTCCATCAATTGAACCCATATCCAACAACAGCAGTTTTTAGGCAAAAACTTGCAAACATCCTTGTTTACACCAACTTAGGAATAAAAAGGATAAAAGGTTCCACCGAGATTTGAACTCGGGCTGTTGGATTCAGAGTCCAATGTCCTAACCCCTAGACCATGGAACCTTCTGTTGTTATCCACCCAACTATCAATACATTTTGACGATAGCAAGCATTCTCAAGTCCAATGAAGTGAAATTAGCTGTACTTTCTACATTAAACATAGCTAATATGTTCTGCAGGATACAAGGAACCAAAAAGGTAAAAGGTTCCATCAAGGTTGGATTCAGAACCCAATTCACCAGACAAGGAACCAATCTGTACTATACAATCTCAGTAAGGTTAATATAGATGAAGCAATCTTAATGTCAAGAACTTAAAATTTACATCTCTTCCTAAACTAATCGATGAATTTATTCTACAGGAGAAAAGAGAGAGAAGGTTCCATCAAAATCTTTACTAGTCCACGACTCATCTGACAAATAACATTCCTATCAGTTTTCTTTACTGGACATTATTTTGCAGTCAACAACTTAGAAATTTCTTAGGCATATGACTAGCAATTAGTTTATTCCAAAGACCAAAACAAAAAGGTCCCACCGAGATTCGAACTCAGGCTATTGGATTCAAAGTCCAATGTCCTAACCCCTACACCATGGAACCATTCTTGGGATAGAGTTCCATCAGTTTTTAATTTATAGCAGTAGTTTGGATCCAAATATACGAGATTAATTGATCTTCCATGCTAAATAAGTATATAAATGTTCTACTCATAAAAGTACCACGAGTCGTGTACGACACATAAGTTTCACGACTATCCCAACCAGAACATCAAAATTCCACAAACACGATGCTCCCAAAATTCATGCTTAGCATCCTTGCAATAAAAAACCTTTACGTTTGGCATGTATATTACAGCAGGACGGCAGACAAATTTCCCAATAGGAACTAAGATTCAAGGTGAAATCAGTATATTCAGACTTGTTATCAAAATTAGTCCCTAGACAAGGTATACATGCACGATGCACTTGACTTGTCACTTATCAAATACCATGGAAAAGGTTGTCTACTTCTGTAATCTAAGCTATGTGCTTGCAATTGTATTAATCTCTACTCGACTTATATACCCAACTAAATACCTAGAATCACTATATGTCATGTCTAACTATACTAGCTCTGCTGAGCAAAAATCTATTTCTTATCTTTCAAACCATGAGAATAATTAGATAAATCATCGAAAATAGCTAATGCTTTAGATCCTTACAAAATGCTACAATTTAATTTCATGGATAGACTATCAAGTATCAAAAGACTGCATAACACGTCTATACCTAGTTCAAGATATTGTCCATTCAAATACATTAAAATGACAAAGCAGGTAAACACTTCAAGTAGAAGACCCAAAAGCAAATGTTCAGCCAGCATTTGAGCTCAGCTGCTGCATTCTGTCTAGTAATAACAACCGGACCACAGCACTAAAGAAAACTTCCAATCAACTTCTGTTAGTGAAAACAAATATTCAAATTCCTCAAGTTTATAGCAAAATAGCTGAATATCTACCTTATTGAGCCAACATGGAAAAGGCTCTACCAAAAGCTAAACTCAAGCTGCAGGATTAGGATCACATTGTAAAGTAGAAAGATTCATCTTTATGCTAACAAGCAGATCTCACAATCTCGACCAAAAAACAGTTAAGGTGGTACCAAAATCTGAAATCAGGCTACTAGAGTCGAAGTTCGAGATCCCACTAACTAGGCCAGAGGACTTTCTCGAGAACTTCTATGGTACGTAACAACATCAATGCTTGAACTCATATCAGTTTCCAACCTAAACTAATATAAATCACTCTCTCCGTCCCATTGAAATTGTCATG